GTTCGTTCGTTCGTTTTTGTTTTCAGGGCCTCTCTGATCTTTTTGTGAAGGCCCGCTGGCCTTTTTTGCTATCTCCCAGCCTTTTTTCCTTTTTGGAATTGTTTGTAGTTGTGCCTTTACAATTTCTTTTTTTAGAAGCTCCCACCCTTCTTGGACTCCTTTTCTTGTTAGGATATTCTGCCGTGAGACCTTACCTATCCTTGTTCTGAGGTTATTAAAACCGGCTTTTAAAAAATCCAGCAGAAGTGTGTGGCTACACTCAGCTTTCGTTTCCTTTGAAATCAAGAATTCTAGGAGGACACAGTCATTCTCCCTAGAGTTCCCCTTACTGCCGCTTCCCTCAGCACGGCACCTCTCTTGGTCAGGATCAAGTCAAGGATAGCAAATCCTCTTGTTTCTTTCTCTACTTTTTGTAGGAGAAAATTATCAGCCACACAAGCCAGGAATTTCTTGGAAGGGCCATACTTGGCAGAATTTGCCTCCCAACATATACAGTATCTGGATAATTGAAATCTCCCATCACTACTACGTCATGTCTCTTTGAAAACCCTGCAATTTGTTTTTCAAAAGTTTTGTCCACTTCCTCTCTTTGATTGTGTGGTTGATAGTAGACTCCAAATACCTTTTATTTTTTGTCCCAACTAGATTGATCCGGATGCTCTCGATGGGACAGCCAATCTCCTCCTCCTGTATTTCTGCACTGGAATGCATATTTTTTGATGAGTTGCCAGGGCACATCTCTATGATGGGGCAAGCATCAGGCAAGCTTTTGTGGGTGCTTCTGCTTCTAGACAGTATATTTGCCTGTCTTTTTCAGAAACTGGCAGGGTTACTTTTAGGGGTTATAAAATGGTCAGTGACTGTGCCGGCTGGGAGTTGTAGACATAGTGGCAGTCCTTTCCAGAGCTGCCCCATTATCCTGATCAGCTCTAGCTTTAGCACCTTGGTCCCTGCCCTGTTGAATCTACCTCTTCCTTAAAAGACATAGATGTGGTAGAGGGAGGGAGGCAGGTGGATATAGGACTCTGCAGCTGGAATCCAGATTTGGAAGGATGCCACACTCTGCCACATTGAAAGAGATGAAGTTTCTGAATATTATTATGCACATGGCTATAAATTGGTTAGGAACCCACAAGTCCCTAAGCGCTTTAACAAGCAAGATGAAACGATAGCTTCATGAGGGCAAAGCCAGACCACGGCATGTTTCACATCATCACTTTCAGAGAAGCCCTGTGAGCCCAGCAACCATGCTTAGGGAGGAACATTACTCAAAATGAAAACGTACCAGGGAGATTAGAATGTCCAATCTAATTCATAACAGACCAGGCAGGTGATACTTAGCCAATGCATAAATAGGGTTAGCAGAATGATGCAGGGTGATTAAGCAGTAATTCCAAAGTTAATCAAATGTGGATTTCCAGGAAGGAAACTTATTCTATTTCTTTCACAGCAGGAGTCTAAATGTATTAGCACTCATAATATAAGATTTCTGAGACTGTATACAGATGATAATTCCTCAAAGGTTTTGAGGTGGGAATATCTTTGCCCACTTTGCACATGGTTGTCTCCTTTTATATACCCTTCCTTGACTAACTTGATTTTTTAACTCCCCCACCTTAAAAAAAATTAAGGCTGAATCCATTTATCTTCTTGTCTAAATATCAATTACTATCATATCATTCTTTTAAAACTAAATAAATATTCCCAAAAGAGGAAAAAAAAACCCACTGCGTTTAAAGCAAAAAGTTATAGTTGAAGCACTATCTTCAGAGCAAACAAATTCAGACTACAGATAAGTCTCAATTCTCACTCAAAACATAGGTACATTCAGGCACCCTTCTTGAACCTTAGTCCACCCTAAGTACATTATGGCTTAAATCCTGTTTCTTAGTGTAGATCCACTGAATCAGCACAGAGTTCGTTAAGTCAACTCCTCCAAAAGTTCCATTGATTCAAAGAGGCCTACACCAGTTGTGACTTTATTGTAGTAAGATGCAACTAGAGTAGGCCCACTTGAATCAAGGTACCTTTTGGAGGAATTGACTTACTAACTCTGCACTGATTCAATGGATCTATTCTAGTGTGACTTACTACACTAAGCAAGATCTCAGCCATTGTTTGAATCCTTAAACCGGAAAACCTCTGTTTACTTAGAAATAAACAATTAAAACACTAGGCTTTCTCTTCCTACATAGAGATCAGTTGGAGTAAACTAGTGAAGATTGTGCAACTGGGACTAGAACTGTGCTATTTGCAAATGCTGATATTACTAAAAGCTGCATTTCGGTTCAGCTCTTCCAGATCTTTAGTAAATGTTCCATACAGAGACTGGGGTAGTTACTGGAATTATGTGTAGTTCTTCTTTGAGAGAGAAGTCGATGTACCAGAAGCACACATCAATATGCCCAGC